CCTTTTATCCCAAAACTTGGAGGCAGAGGCAGGTAGATCTCTATGAGTTCAAGGTCAGCCTGGTCTACAGAGCGAGTGCCAGGACAGGCTCCAAATCAACACAGAGAAACCCTGTCTCAGGGAGGAAAAAACCTCCTGGTGGCCCAAGAACTTCGTCTGTAAAAGGATGGTGTGAGGGTTAATACTATCAACTTGAATCACCAAAGACAAGCCTCTGGGCTTCCCTGTGACAGACTCTCTGTTTAGTTCATTAAGATAGGAAGTCCCACCCTAACTTTGTGACACTATCCTTTGGTTGGGGTCCCAGCTCATATAGACTAGGCTGGCTTCAACCTCCTTATGATGACCTTGAACTTTCAATCTTCCTACGTCTAATCCCCAAATGCTAGTATTATACCTGGGCCACCATGTCCAGTTTATGCAAAGCTGGGGATTGAACTCAAGGCTTCATGTATATGCATATGCCTACTTGATGGGAGATGTCATTCTGTAAATATGTTTCTCTTATTGGTTAATGAATAAAGCACTATTGGCCAAAAGGAAAGCAAGATAGGCGGGACTAGGAGACAAGGAGAGAGTAGGGAGTAGTAGGGAGGAGAGTCAGCATGGGGAGATTGGAGATAGCAGAATGATGGCCCCTCTCCCCGGTAAGATGAGACCATGTGGAAATATTTAGATTAGTAGAAATGAGTTAATATTTAAGATAGAGCTAGCTGATAAGAAACTAGTAACTGGCCAACAGCATTATGTCAAATACAGAATCTATGTGTGTTATTTGGGCCTGGCGTGGCCGTGGAACCAGGCAAGCAGGAAAAAAACTACTCAAACATCTACTAAGCAAGCACCCTGCCAACCGAGTTACATCTCCAAGCCTTCAGCTCTCTTCATTGTTTCTCTTTGTCCTTCCAAAGGTGACCACACCTCTATCGGTCCTCAGTCTTTCTATGGTACAATATCCAGAAGGACAATTGGAAAGTTGGGTACGTTAGTGCATGTCTATGATCCCAGTGCTCTAGAACCGGAGGCAGGAAGAGTTGCGATTCAAGGCTAGCCTTGGCTATATAGAAAGGTCTTGTTTCATAAAAATAGAAGGAGCCAGTTGTAGTGTTGCACACTGGTAGGATATGCTAAAGGGGCAGAGGCAGGAGGGTCATGAGTTTGAGGCCAGCCTGGGCTACACATGGAGGCAGGAGGGATGGCTCAGCCAGTAAGAGTGAATGCTGTTCTTCCAAAGGATCCACATGGTGGCTCAGAGCCATCTGTAACTACAGTTCCAGAGGATCCAACACCTCCTTCTGATCTCCATGGGCACCATGCATATACATGGTGCACATACATACATGCAGGCAAAACACTCATATAAATAATTAAATCTTTAAAATGAGACAAAGAAACCAGAAAAGCTCATACAGATAATCAGAGGTTGCTTTTTCCTGAGAAAGAGCAAACAAAGGAGATTTGATGAATAGAGGGAAGGGGCTATGCCTTACTATGGATGCACAGTATTGGTTTTACTTAAATCTACCCACTGGTGCTAATTGTGAGCCAGACCCTATTCTAAGGATTTTCCAGAAAAATACGCTTATCTACTACTCTGACGAAACCAATGCAGTCAATTCTCACTGCCTTTACTAGTTACTTTCCATGATAAAACGCCAGGCAAAAGCAACTTAAGGGAGAAAATAGTTCTCTTGCCACAAAGTTCAGAGACCCTAGTGACTGGGAACCACTCAGCAGGAGATTAAAGTAGTTGATCACATGATCACGCTGAATCCACAGTCAGGAACAGCAAGTGACAGTGACATTGTGGCTACTTACTGATTAGGCCCTCTGGCTAGCCAGGGAGCCCCAAGATCCTCCACCCCCTAGAGCTGTGAGTTGGGATTACAATTATATGGTACCACACACAGCTTTCACAAGAGTTCAGAGATCAACCTTAGGGCCTCATACTTAACACAGCCTGCACTTCACCAGCTGACCGTCTCGCCAGAATCTTGGCCTCTAACAGTTGTAGCTGAGGCTATGGCCTCCGATTTGACCCTCCTGTGTCCATCCAACTCCTGAATATTGGGATTATTGGCACCCATCATTGCACGTTTTTTACGAAGCACTAGGGATGAGACCCAGGGCCTGTGTACACTAAGCAAGCACTCTACCAACTGAGCTACATCTCCGGCCAATCTCAGTTCTTGCTTCCCCACCACCACACCCTGTACTGTGGCCTTAGGTCTCCTCCTGAGCTTTGCCCTTTGTTGGGACATCTTCCCTCCTAATGTGTTGTCCCAATTTGAGTCCCTTTCCATCTGCTCTATGAAGCCTTGCCATATAGCTAGCACTGCAGAGGTGCTAGGGCTATACCACAGCAGGGAACACAGCAGACGCGGCCCCTCACCAACCTCTGCTTGTGTCTGGGATGTTTTCTTTGTGTCGTAACTGCTTCTTTAACAGACTGTGGGCATCCTGAGTACCAGACTTCTCTTCTAGCCATTTTGAATCCCTATTACACAGTCCAAGGAATGCATCATTAAATATTAGTCAGCTTCATTTACTCACAAAAACTCACTGAGCAATCTTATAGCAAGAACATAGATGACACACTGCTTGTATAACTGTGATAGAGACACACCATCCCTGCCTCCTTGGTTTGCCTAGGTTGCTTTGATTTTTTTGTTCATTTGAGACAAGGTCTTGCTGTACAGCCCTAGCTGGTCTAGTACTTGCTATGCAGCCCAAGGTGGCCTCAAACTCATCCAAATACACATGCTGCCACCTTCCAACCCAGGGACTATGGGCATGAATCATGATGCCAAGATAATTACTGCCCTTTTAGAATCTTTATGTCTCCTGGGGCAGATAGAGCACTGAATGAATGAATGGATAGATGAATGAATGAATGAATGAAGACTGAATGAATCAACTAACTACAGGAGTGTCTCCCCACAGTTGGCTAAAACAGCCCAGAGAAGAAGTGAAAGGGTTGGTGCTTTTGTAGTTAGGGGATGAGGACGCCTCGCTTTCTGTCCCCCACACAGAGACCTCCAAAGACAAGGAATTGAGCAGACAGCGTAAAGTCTAATCTCCAAATTTGAATTCTAGATCCAATACTTACTAGCTATGTGGCCTTAGGTTAATCCTATGGGGATGAGGGTGATGGTTATTATTTAATGAAATACTGTCTTTTTGTTTGGTTGGTTGGTATTTGAGGCAAGGTCTCTGTATAGCCCAGACTGGCCTTGAACTCAGCCTCCTGGGTGTTGAGACAACAGGTGTTCACAAGCCCAGGACAATGCATTTTAGATGGTTGTGTGCTCAGACCCAGCTGGGGCTGGGGGACTGTGAACAGTTTTTGCCTGTTGGGGAAGACCTATCATTTTCTTCAGTGGTGTGTCACAGATAATTTGTCTCTTTAACACTAAATAATCCCATAACCCACTCCATAAATAGCTCTAACTAAAATCAATGGAGAGACATTGAGGATACCAGTGAAAGAGAGGGATGGGGGGGGGCATGGAGAGGGGAGGAGGGGAATGGGGATGAGGGAGCAGGATTGGATTAGTGAAGGGAATGGGGGTGTGAAAATGACTACAATTCACTTTATAAATGTACAAAATTGTCAAACAATTTTTAATGGGGGGAGGGTTTGGGAGTAGTGGCACACTGGGAAGGCAGAGGCAGGAGGATCTCTGGGAGTTCAAGGCCAGTTTAGTCTACATAGTGAGTTCCAGACCAGGCAAGATTACACAATCAGACCCTGACTCAAAAAAAAAAAAAGGTAATAAAACAGATTTTTTTTTTTCTTTTTACATGGGAGGGCAGGCCCCAAGTCAGAAACCCAGCATAAGGGGCAGGTCTTAGACCTGGCCCAAATGTTTAGACCTTCAGCCAGAAGTTGGTCTCCCGCTGCTTCACACCTTCTGGCTCCCAGCATTCTGGGGCACCTGCCCCCACTGCTCAGTTCAGTTTACAAGCCACCCAGGTCCTGTCAAGGACAGGGTTTGCTGTCTTTATAAGCCTATAGCAAGGGTAGCAAGGGGAGTGGCTGAAAAAGGGAGGAAGAAGGAGAAAGCATAGATGTTTATCCAGGCCCCACCGTGGGGGGACACCCAGCCTGTTCTTGATTCAGATAGCTCCTTATCGTCTTTCAAAACAAACAAACAAAACAAAACCCATGATCTTACTGATGAGGACACTGAGGCCCAGGAAGTAAATGGGACATGTGGGTTAGGAATCCAGGCCTCTCTGGGACTGACTGGACTCCTACTCAAGTCCCAATCGCCCGGCTGCCTGCCTGTCAGCTTGTGGATATGTGCGGGTAAGTTTCAATTTTCTTATTCATAGGAGGAGAAATGGAGTGCTCCTCTCTCCAGACAACTGAAGTGCGCGCTCAACTAATGAGTAAACAAATGAACACAATAAATGAATGCTGGCTTGAGTGAGTGAAATCCCTCAGAGTCCGTACCAGGAAGGAGGAAACAGTCCTTGCTGGAAGTGGTGAGATTGTCTAACCCCCTCAGGGCTGGGGTAGAGGCTGAGGAATCACAGAGGAAGAACTGCTCAGATAGAGCCAGGGTAGAGACAGTGCCTGAGGGTCTGGTTGCAGGTGTAGCTAAATAGTAAAACATTTATCTGGCGTGTTAGCACGCGCTAACACACACACACACACACACACACACACACACACACACTCCTCCCCCCCAAAAAATAAAAATAAACCCCAGGAGTTGGAGGATGATATTGGCGAGAAAGTGGTGATGTGAAGGCAGTGAACAGTCAGTGAGGAAGCAGGATTAAACTCCCTGGTGCTCTCCCCAACCATTGCCAAAGCGCTGCCAACTTTGAAACGAAGTTTCAGAACCCGAAACAGCCACTCTAGGTTCTTCAGGAAGGTAGATTCTGGAAGCAGCAGCACCCTTCCTTTCCCACAATGTCCTCCATCAGCTGGAATTCCTGCCACCCGCCTCCAGCACTCCCGTCGCCTGTCCCCAATCCCTGCACCTTACCTAGGGAGGCCGAGGAACAATGGTCCCACAATGCAGTCCGATCTTGCTCTTCAAGCCGCAAAAGGATCTGCCTGCTGGCCTGAGCTGCAGCCTGCCGGGCTCTCCTCTTGCCTTCCCTGAACTAAAATCGTCCAGACAGGTTCCTAAAGGGGGAAGGAGTCAAAGGAAATCCCCTCTCCGCCTAGTGGCCTGGCCTAGGCTGGGCCAGCCTGCTAGGCAGTCTCTCCTGGGCTGGCCCTGGATGAATGAGTCCTGGCCTCCTCCTACTTGGGTTTGTGCCAGGGAGCCTGTGACAGCCGCCCTGCTCTTTCTCCTGGGCGCTGCTATCCATGCCTCCTCCTGGTCCTGCCCTTCTGTCTGTGACTGAGCGGTTGGCCTTCTGGCCTGCACTGTGGGATCTCAGATACTTTGCATGGGATGGTCCTGGATCACACTCTGGTGTGACTCAGGCCTGGTACTCCACAAAATGACTTTTTTTTTTTTTTTTTTTTTTTTAATGGCTTTGGACAGAAGTTTAGTCACAAGGCTCCTAGGTTCTGCCCACAGATGGGATGAGCCTCCGACCTAGTGCAATGATTATCCTAGTCCCTGATTATCTAGTTAAAATGTGTTGAGGATGACTGGCCTTGTGCCAGGTCCTGAGAGTGGGGAAGTATGTTAACAGCCCTCCTGCTTACTAGATAGACAAAGAATGGAGTACACCGCTGAAGGTTTGCCCAAGATTCAGGCAGCATGATCAGGGAGATTTCCCTGTGTGGAAGACAAGCCACCAAAGTTTTGAATTGTGAGCAAGAAGGGTCAGGCCAGGAAGGGCCTTGCAAGGCTTGCTGGGAACTATTCAGACTTTACGCTACAGACATGGAGAGACTCAGAGAGGACAGAATGGTGAAGTCAGATTCAGTTAGGATTTATTTTATTTTTTGTGCTGAGGATGGAACCTAAGGTCTCACACATGCAAAGCAACTGCTCTACCACTGAATTATACCTTCACCACCTAAAGGTAGCATTTACATGTGTGTGCCTGCTTACTTGTATGTGGACCGTGTGTGTGTGTGTGTGTGTGTGTGTGTGTGTGTGTGTGTGTGTGTGTGAGTGAGAGAGAGAGAGAGAAATGTATCTGCAGGTGATGGAGGACATTGGATTCCCTGAGTAATGGATTCTTAATCCAGAACACTGATCAGGAGTGGAGAAAGGAAGGGACAGAATCAGGAATCAGAGGTGTTGAGAGGAAGGTAGATCAAGAAGAAGGAAAAAAAAAAGAGGAAGGCAGAATATGGTGATATGGTGGCACATGCCTATTATCCTGACACTTGAGATGTGGAGGCAAGAGGATCACAATTTTGAGGTAAGTCTTAACTACATGATAAGACTTTGTCTTTAAAAAAAAAAAAAAAGGTGGATATATGTCTTGGCCCTGTGTTTAATAGTTATCAATGTAACAACAAAAGTTAAGATTGCAGCACTGTGGCTGGAGATATGACTCAGCTGTTGAGAGCATTGGCTGCTCTTCCAGAGGACCCAGGTTCAATACCCAGCAACCATATGGCAGCTCAAAAACCATCTGTAACTCCACTTCTGAAGGATCTGATGCCCTCTTCTGACTTTTGCAGGTTCTACATGCATATGGTGCACAGACATACATGCAGGCAAAACACCCACCATATACATAAAATAAGTAAATAGTATTATAGTGCTGATGAACTTAATGTCCAAGATGAACTTAAAGTCTGGCTAGCTAGAATGAATCCCAGGTGTGATGTCTATTTTAGTTGCCAACTTGACTATATCTGAAATTAATTCAAACACAAAATGGCTGGGCACACTTGTAAGAGATTTCTGCTTAATTACGTCATCTAAAAAGTAGGAAGATCCACTTCTAATCTGGATCTTTGAGGTGGGAAGACCCACTTCTAATCTGCCTCATACCTTCTGCCAGTAGCCTGCACAAAGGACATGGAAGAAGGACACCTCCCTCTACCTGCTTGCCCTTGCCCTCACTAGCAAGTCCATTCCTTCACTGGTGTTAGCGCCTACCTCTTCAGAACTCCAGGGTATATCTGAAGACCAGCTGAGACATCCAGCCTGGTGGACTGAACCACAACTGGAGTCTTGGACCTGCTGTTCATAGGCAGCCATTGTGGGATTAGCTCATCCACAGCCTGATATGAGAGAGAGAGAGAGAGTGATTCTGTAAGTTCTGACTAACACAGGGATAACCTGTATTACAGGTTGGATGGTACTCGCTGGGTAAGCACTGATGTATTAACTCAGATCTGGACTTGCGGATTCAGAAACACCTGTGCAAAGGTCCAGGAAGCAGTCAGTTCATGACATCACTGAGGTACCCAACAGGAAGGAGAGGGCCCATTCAGCTAGAATGAAAGGAAAACTAGTGAATGAGGCTGTTACAAATGCTTAGTGGTTAAGAGCACCGTGCTGCTCTTGCAGAGGAACCAGATCCTGTTCTTAACACACCAAACAGGACACAGCAGTCTGGAACTCCAGTTCCAAGGGCTTTGGCCCTGGCCTCTGATCATTGAGGGCGACTGCATCACATGGTACACATAAACTCGTGAAGCCACACATACATATGCATAATAAGGAGTCCTTTTGGAAGTGGATTTACAGGGATCTGGAAAGGAAAGGAAACAGCTAAGAGCTGTGAAGATCCAGGAGCCATCAGTGGGAAGTTTTTACCACCTCTGGGTCTCCAGGGACAGTAAGCAGCAGTGTTTGTGGAACCCAGCTTGAGGTGGAGTTGGAGACAAGGTTGTAAGGGGGAGCTGCAGAGGAAACCAGTCACTGATGGAGCAGGCAGGGCCAGGGAAATTATACCCCGACCACCTCCTTCCCCCACCTTCCTGGTCCCCATTCCTCTTATTGGTTGCTGTTCCCCAAGGCACAGAACACCCTAAGAATGGATGGGGGTCTCAAGAGGCAGCAAACAGCTGAGAAAATAGACGACAGTTGCAGAGAGTATGGTGTCACGCACCATTGACCCTAGCTCTGGGGAGATAGAGACCAGCCTGGTCTACACAGTGAGTTCCAGCTCACTGAAAGCTATGTACTGAGGCTTATCTTTAAAAGGGGAGATTTGCATAGAAATGGCAAGAGAATCCATGGAAGATGGGTTACACAGGGAGAGAAATCAGAGGGAAAAAGGTATACCAACCAGAACATGTGGACCGTGGCAATGCAAAGCTAGGAGAGGGGCCAGAGTCCAGAGCTGAGAATCCAGACCATTCAGGGACTCAGGCCATTGAAGTGAGGGACTAAGGGACTCTGGGGCCACCCTGAGTAATAACTTAGTACAATCAATACAACACGTGAGACTCCACATGGAGCCACTAACTTCAGCTCCCAGGACTGGAGACTGAGCTCTTAAACCCAGTGGGAACTATATATAGAAAGAAGGGGAGAATGGAAGGAGACAAGGAAGAGAGGGAGGGAAGGAGAAGGGGAGGGAGGGAGGAAGGAAAGAGCCTGTGGATTCAAGAACAGAAAATTAAGGGAACACGAGGAGGAAAAGGAATCTCATTCCCGAGCCTTGCTCAAGTTTCATCCTCTGAGAGTGGAGAATTCCAGCACAGTTACCATTAGTTGCATTACCTATAGAGATAATAATCCTTTTATATAGACATTTCAACTAAGAATGACCATGCTTATGGCTCAAACATGTATGCTATTTCTCCTCTCACTGTATAGCCTTTCTCCCAGTATAGTCTTATGCCTTTCCCAGATGTCAACCTGCGATTTTCGAGAAGTTTCACAAACAAGTCTATACAATTAAAGACGTGTCTTAACCACCTGTGCAAACTTTGTGACCCATGGTTTGACCTTATCAAGTTGTAATCATAGCCAAGTCCCTGAAGCAACCATCCCATGATCTCATTCACAAAAAAATAAAAATAAAAATAAAAGCCAGGGGAAAAGAAATCTCTCAGAATCTCTCTGAACAGGTGATTTCAGGAACACCCACCCTGGCAGCTGGGGAAGCACCAAGGGTACAGGAAGGCATTCGGTCTCAAAACGACACCACAGAGAGTGCTTGTTTCATGGATCTGCAGAAGTCCGCAACCAGCCTTTGTTAGGATTTTATGAAGAACAGGCTACTTCCTGGGAGAGAATTGACCATATGACTTCAGAGAAGCATCTACCCACAGCCAATTCACACACACAAGATAGAAAACCCTTAGGAAGCAAAGCTGAGTCCTATTTTTCTCTCCATGCTGGAGAGACTTGACATTGAACTGGGATTTCCAAAGGTGTTTGCAAAACAGATTCAGGGAAGGCTAATGCACTCATAGTAAATATTTTAAATTGATACATTTTTCACTTAGAATTTGGACATCAATTTGTTTTTATTTTATGGATGTGATATATACAAGTTCATACCTGTGATCATTGGGTGTACAGGTACACGTGCATGTGTGTACATATGCATGCAGCAGCCTGAGGTGGATGGATATCAAGTGTCTTCTTCAATCATTCTTTGTTTTCTTTTTTCTGTAGTGTCTGTCATTGACTCTGGAGCTCTCTGATTGTGATTCTGTTAGACTGCTAAACAGTCCACCCATCTTAGTCTCCTCAGCACTGGGAACAGGAATTCCTATCCTTAGCTTTTTATGTGGGTGCCAGAGACCCAGACTCAGGTCCTCCTGCTGTAAGCTAAGAACCTTTCTAACTGAGATATTTCTCCAGCACCCTTATATTTTTAAAAATATCACACACACACACACACACACACACACACCTGGGCAGTGGTAGAGCATGCCTTTGATCCCAGCACTCAGGGGTCAGAGACAAGCAGATATCTGAGTTCAAGGCCAGCCTGTTCTACAGAGCAAGTTCCAGGACAGCCAGGGCTTCACAGTGAAACCCTCTCAAAAAACAAAACAAAAATCTCTCTCTCTCTCTCTCTCTCTCTCTCTCCATGCACAGCACAAATGTAGAGGTGAGAAGACAATCTGCAGAAGTAGGTTCCCTTCTACCTTGTACACTCCAGAAATCAAACTCAAGTCTTAGCAGCAAGTACTAGTGAGC